ATGAAGAAAATGTAGAGTATTGGTTCAAAATTGTATAAATAAATTACTATATAATTTTATCTTCTTACAAAAAAAAAGTTGCTCAGAGGTTGTTTATTTACTACGATTAGGAAATACTATACAGAAAAAAACTATGGAATTTTATTAGATCGTATTACTAAATCTATTATTTGGCTCGGTTCCCTCTACTTCAGAAAATAAGATATCATAACTTTATTCTCCTTGCCGGAAAGGATACATATGTTTCGAACTTAATGTTGGAAAACCTTATATCTCAACCGTGACCAGTCGAAAAATCCTAACACCGTTGGGGACTGTTTTTTCTATCTTTTTTTTGACCCGTAAGAGGTTGAAGAGCCCGCCATTGTTATAAATAAATAAATAATTGGATTAAAGCATTAAGGAAACTGTGATTTAAAACTTTTACCAATAGTAATTAGTGGTACTTTATAAATTATTATTCCGTGACAGATTACAAGCACTTCCTAACATACTCATAAAAGGCATCGCCAAACAACACACCGATTATTTTAAACTGTGAAGAGTAACTATATATATACTAACAGGCAAAAAATTCCACCCACTTGTTACCCATTAAGGAACCACCTTGGAAAGGATGGCTCTGGGAAAAGTTACAGGCTGCATATCTTTCATTTCTTCTTCTCCATACCCTTTCACGCCCGTTTGGAGATCGAAGAGCGAATCTTGACTCATCTGTAAAAAGTACAGCACTCTATTCGTCCATATTCCAAGGCTGTGTTCTCGAGCAAAAGCCAGCCGTGTTACTCTGTGAGTTCTGGTCAACTCAGGTCCTCTTACTGGACGAAAAGCCATTAATCCATACTCATTTAATCTTCTCCGAGCAATACGTTCAGAAATTTCCACACCTCGAACTTCTTCGAGCTGATGAATCGCTAGAACAACGGTAAGGTGCCGGTTTCGTAAAATTCTCAAAGTCGAAAACCGTTCATGCCGTGGTTCTGTTACCCTAGGCCCTGCAGAACCGGGCATTCTATTGTAAGAATCAGTTTCCCGAAAACGGCTGACGGCGTCGCGTAAAGTTTCATATGGAACTCCGATGGCATTAGCTGCATATCTAATGGAACGTCCATCATCAATAAGTGTCACACCACGCGCAACATCCTCGGCACTAAGAGGGAATTTTTAAACTTAATATTAAACAAATTAAAAACCGGAGACTAAGAAATGTGCTGCAAGAAACAGCACTGAACTAATGATACTGAATAAACATTTTGATTCCATAGAAAGTAAACATTGGAATCCAGAATCATTTCATTGAATTAAGGATTAAGGGTTATTGTCCTCTAAATTAACATTCCTAATTGAAAACAAATAAAACGATTACCTACTTATTCATTCAAAAACAAGAGACCAATCCAAAGCAGAAATATTTTTAGATGAAAACATGACAAAATCAAGTGGGTGAAATTTTTTGCCTGTCAGTGTGTATATATATATATAAATATTGGTGGAATGAAATAACTTAACAAAATCAGAGAAAAAAGTAAATAAGTGAAAGAATAATAAAACTGATTATTTTCATAAAAAAAAAAAAGATCTACTTAATCTTAACTTATTTGCTGAAGACTTCAATTATTGTCAGTAATTTTCAATTGGTAGTAAATCACTTCAAGGTACTCATTAATGATAAGAGAGAGGGTCATTCTTTTGGTTCCCAATCTAATTTCTTAAATGAGGTTGATATTTATCCCATGGGTCCACCCCAATATAATAGTCAACCTCGATGTCGGATTCTAACCGACTCCATTCCTGCCTAGAGAATGCTGGGAAGCTATAGCAATACGCTAGGGTACATCCTAATAATGTCATATTTCACGCCCTTCAGCTTTTATGGAATTAGAATTGAATTTCTTTCAAAGGCCATTATATTGCACATTTTTGGATAAGAAAAAACGTGAGCATCACCCAGCTAGCTCCGTCTCTAAAGGTCCTATTTTCTTATTGAAGACAGTTGACAACGGATTTAATTGTTTCACCGACCATCATAATTGGAGAAATAACAGCGCTAAGAATACTACAGAGTGACTTATCATTTCGAAACAGTGGAAAATGGAAAACAAAATTTTGCTAAAGATTAGATCAGTTTAAAAATAAATTTTTACTACTTAATTAACTAGAATAATTGACGAACGAGTATTAGGAATGTACTTACAAATATAATTTTAGCCAGGGTTGAAATCGATAATTATTTTTTAAACAAAAGCATGTAATAATTATTGTATTTGATTTTAGAGATCGGCAGTATTATTAGTTTCCTTGTTATTTGTTGTGCATAGTGTGTATGAGCTACTCTTTTATCACTTTTACTATTGTTCTTAGATGTGACAGATTTAAATATAACAAAAGAAAAAGAAAAGAAAAAATGCCTGATTTATATATATTTTTTTTTTGTCTATAAAATATGCATTTGCGCCTGTCAACAATAAGTTGACAATCAGCAAATTTGATGGCGATAATGATATAATGACATGACAGGCATGGGGAAGGAAAGTACTCAGCAGTACCTCTTCCCTAACTTGTCCCAATTACTTAGATTTTCTAAGGAAGGAGATCCCTCATCCAACGCCTTTTTAGTCTCCTGCTCATGTTCTGAGGTATGTCAGCTGTGGCCATGTCTCTTATAAGTCTGTTATTATGTCCCTTTAAATTTGTGTAAAATCGTTGATATAGGGTCGTTATATGTTGGTCAACTGTTGGAAAGTGGAGGTCAGTATGTAGAGTTTTGTTAGTCACGTACCAAGGTGCTTTTGTTATGAGTCGCAATAATTTTTATTGGAACGTTTGAAGTTTTTGTAGCCACCTAGTCTTTTTAGCGATGCCGTATATTTGTGATGAGTATGTCCATATGGGCTTAAGTAAGTAAGTAAGTATGTATATGTATTCAGTTTCTGTTTTAGTTTTAGTTTTGAAGATTTGGTAAAAAGAGAGTAAAGTTGATTTATAATTTAAAATTAAATCCCTCTTTGATGTTTATTTATCCGATTAAAAATAATGATCACTCACTGAGTGATACGGTTTTGCATAAATAATAATGATTCAATTTTAATATACAAAAATTTCGAAATAAAAATCATATTTTACAAACTAATTGAATAAAATGTTAATGTGTATGTACATGTTAATAAAGTACACATTTTTTAATATTATATGTCTATATATATATTTTATGAACCAAAATATCAAATAAATTTCGGAAATGTAGATGCCCTGTTGCTAATAGTAGACAACAATATTCTTCACCTACTACTCCAGACTCAATATACATCATAGAAATTACAAAAAAATTAAACTTCTGATTTAAAAAATTATCACTCAAGAAATATTATTATTGTAAAGTGTAAAAATTTTGTTCAAAAATAAGGATCAGGATATAATTTTCATCGTTCTTAATAAAAATCGTCAATTGATTTTCAAAAAATCCAAATAAAAATTTTGATCAGATTCGATTTTTGTTTATTATCGGTTTCAAGCCCTCAGGTTTCAGCTATCAAAAAAATAAAATGAAATATTTGTAAAAAATTCAAAACGTCATGTATTTACAATAAATGGTGTGATTTCAATGATTTTGATTTATTTTGTAGGAAATAATCTTAGGTAAACGAACACTATTCTAATAAACCAAATATACGGACAGAAGCGAACTTTTTAAATTATTCACAAATAAAAATTTTTATTCATTAAAACTTATTTTACAGCACTTTTTTCAACGAAGGAAGCTATATGGATAAATTTCACTTTTTATCTTTATGACTTAATATTTTTCCACCAGCATCTTGAAAGAAACTGGTGCCTGACGATGAGACACACTAAGAGCATTTCTCCAACAATTTAATTCAAATACAAAGTTTTAACCTTCCAACTTTATTAGGAGGGATTGTAGAAATGTAGAATATTTTAAAAATAGGAAGAAAACCTTTCTAACATGTTGAAATTGGTCAAAAGTTTAATTGAATTGTTCCATCGGGAAATCGATTTTATTTACATAATTTTAGCTAATTTGGTTCAATAATGGCCACTGGGGATGCCGAAATCGTGAGGGGGAAATGTATACATATAACTGAAATCTCTACGGTTTCTTAATCGTGTTATGTGGGTTCTAAAACGAATAGAAAAAGCAACCCTACATTCTGCAGACGACATTCGACATAGTGCAAAGACTATAATAACCGAAAGAAAATAGACCTGTTGGTTTCAGCAAACACAGAGCGGATGAAGAAGTTGAGCAAGGGAGCATTATATTTTATTAATTTGTGATAAGCAAAGGCACGATGATAAATAAAATAAAATTACTTTTTGTCAATTATTCAAATTTTATTTTGCTTCTGTTTAATTTATTTTATTTTTTTAAATACAGTGTAAATGTGATCATACCTCGCTGTAACCATCGTCAAATTGACACAATGTTGTATTATCCAATTAAAAAATATGTTATATTAAAGCTATTATGAAAAATGAAATTATGCACAGCGTAATAATATATATTAAGCTTTTTTAATTGTAATAATTGTATTTTAGTTTTTCATAAAATTTACTATCTTTAACAAGATGTAAGTGGAATATCTAACACAGAGATCAGGATGTCTTACTTTTACTTCCTTGGCAAGTTATTAATCCATCTTTCTTTAAAACATAAGATACTCAAATATTTTAAACCTAGGACACTCTTAATATACAGTACATACCATGGACAAGCCGCCATATAAATTATTCATAAAAAAATGACTTTTTTTAAATATAAATATTCGAAATCTTTGTGTATGTCCTTACTTATACTTTCTTTTGTATTTTTATTCATAGCTCATCCCAAAATTTCGGAATAATAAAGCTGGATGAAGAAAATAATATAATTTTAATATAATATAATATTCTAAGTATTTATACGTTATTCATGTAAAAATGATTATTATTCCACTTATATACTAAGCTCGAAAAAAAAACATATATTTAATTTGTTCCAGATTTAGCAGTTGGATTGATAAGCGTCTTAACAGACATCGTCTGGAGGGTCACGATAGCCTGGCACGCTGGAAACGTAGCCTGCAAAGTTATAAGATATTTACAGGTAATTGATAGCTAATTAATGACATAAAAAAGGTTCATTCATAATTGGTCGATGAGAACATTTACAAATAAAAAAAAATTCAATATCTTTTTCCAGGTATTGGTTACATATGGATCAACCTATGTCCTAGTGGCCCTTAGCATCGACAGATATGATGCGATAAAACATCCGATGAAATTCTCAGGAAGTTGTGAGTACTAAAAAAATAATTATATTAATTTATATAATTAGTTAGCATCTTAACACATTGCCTATTAGGCGATTTTATGACATTTAATTGTAGTGTACAAAACAAAAAAGAGATAGAAAGAAAGAAAGAGAGAGAGAGAGAGAGAGAGAGAGAGAGAGAGAGGGGGGGGAAGAGAGAGAGAGAGAGAGAGAGAGAGGGGGAGAGAGAGAGAGAGAGAGTGAGAGAGAGAGAGAAAGAGAGAGAGAGAGAGAGAGAGAGAGAGAGAGAGAGAGAGAGAGAGAGAGAGAGAGGAAACGTTAGTTCTCTCTCTCCTCTCTCTCTCTGTAACTGCTGGAAGAAGTGAACTTATATGGATGAAGTCTTTGGTATTTTTGTACGTTATTACTATTTATATTAGTTAGCAAATTGTATATCAGCGTCAGTTCGTAAGTTCTTGTTGTTTAGTAATAAATAGTTAAGTTTAGATTACTCCTTAGACTAAGTTTTATTAATTATCTAGAGTCTATTGTTTAGTTGGACATTCCATTAGATTTTCTATTGTCTGTTCGTCTAAATTGTATACATCAATAATAAATGTTTTGTTTTGATTGTTTATAAAACATTAATTAATTAATAAAACATATGTAAGAAGGTTGATAAAGTGGATACGTGAGGTTTGCACATGGTTGTCTATTTAAGCTCTAGTATATGAACGTTAAGAGGACCATTGTTACATAATCAAGCATTAAAAAAATTGAATTATTGAACCATATTTGTTTTAAATAATAATAATTAAAGATAATCCAAGCTGAAACTGCCTATGATATAATTTAATCTTGGCTAATTTGGGGGCCGAGCGTGATAACAGCAGTTTGTGATAAATCAAGATATTTTAGTTTTTTTAACACTATTTTACCTCGCGGAGGCTTGCTCAGTTAAAGTATCAACTGAAATGGTAGCGATAAGAGAAGCTCATAAGTACGTAGCGAAAACCGAAACCACCAATCGATTCGTGATAACGAACTTGATCAGTTCGTAAATAATCATTGGAAATACCAGACCAAAACTACTATAACGAAAGGAGTAATAAACTTTTCGTGGCTGCTAAGGGAAAAGGGTTAATAAATAAGACTAATCTAGGTCTCATTGCGGGGTCACTAGAAATGAGCAGGCCAACACAACTCTAGAGGAACCAATACACGAAATTCCTTTAAAAGATTACATAAAACAAATTTAGAAGGATGTAAGGAAAATTTGACAAAATAGGTGGGAGCAAAGGTATTCCAAATTAAGGGAAATAAAAACTGAATGGGAAATCTCTTATCGGATCTCAAGGAAAGAAGAAACATCCCTTTGCAAATTAAGAATTGGATAGAGTTCTCCCACGCCTACATACGAAGAAGACTTGACCCCTCGACCTGTGATAGCTGCAATGTCGAAAAATCTGTAAATTACATTTTACAAGACTGCTCTACACTGAAAAATATCGGAAAAATTTGGACATTGCTCCAAACATACTACAAAATTTAAAAGACAACGAAGAAGCTGTTAAAAAAAAACAAATCTTTTTCCAGGAGAAGCTTCAACAACTAAGAGAAAGAATTGGACTGAATAAGACCACCGCAGCATCAACTAGGACGAAACAAACCACGCAGGAACAGCAGGAACCGAAGAAGAATCCTAACCCCCCACCGTCACGGAATCAGGTGGAGGAAACTCCCCCTACCAATGGCTATTAACGACCCCAGAATAAATAAAAAAAAACAGTGCAGGTTCTCTTAGGCAAGCCTGGCATCATCACAGGGCTATACAGAAGTTCTATGGGTTCCTGAATCGAATTTTCCCAGATTCTGCGGGAGTGTACAAAGAGGACGGAATCATTGGATAGTGGGTGACCTAAACGACCGGCATACTTTGTGGAATAACAAAAAAGCTAACGACAAATATAATAATAATAATAACGAAAGCTGGGAAACTAATACTGAAGACCGCTTATACCGTGGTTCATCCAAATACCACGAACATTCAGACACAGGGCTAATATAACTTTTACTTCAACTTTTGATCACTTGCTCACCAGACCGCCACACCGTTTTATCGACTGTACGGTGCTGGATTTATATAACATCCGATCATAGATCTGTTCTTTACTTGATTGACGGCCAAACTCGCACCACCACCACCTACAAAATACAAGTACGCTTAAGGCGATTGGGAACTACATAAAACACAGGTCTTTCAAGAGTAGTCCACTACCTGTAATTTTTCGTGACGACCATCATACTTGCAGCCGACAGAACCATAACGAAGTTCACACCACTTCCAACATATCTACGGCCCCTCCCAAATCATATTCTGAAACTTATTGCCTACCGTAATAAGTGGAAGAATAGATGGTAATGGGCCAGAGATCATGACGTTAAGTCGGTGGTAAATTTCCTTACCACTTGTTTCTTAACCTCATGAAACAATGGCGGACTCCACAATGGCATGAAAATCAACGGTCCACCCTTGGAGATTACAAGAAATTATGGATGCTTCTGAAAACCACCACTAGGAAGAAAAGCTCCATATTACTCCATGACGAGAACATACTTTTAACATCGGAAGAACAGGCGGCTAAATCTGCAGATTAATACGGTGATATTATAACCAGACGAACTCAGCCTCTAACCGAACTTCTAGTGGAAGACATCGGAAACAATTACATGTTTGTATCCCCAAAAAAATAACGGTCATGCTCCGTCGTTCGAAGGGAAATGGATTACAAACCATATTACTAAAACAATTGCCAAGGAGAGGAATAGCTCACATGACAAACCTTTAAAACTCCTGCCTCAGTTTGAGGTATTTCTCTGATGCATGGAAAAATGTTATCCTCTTCCCGTTATTGAAATCCACGAAGAATAGATTCTAGCCAGTCGTTTACAGACCAATTAGCTTACTTTCACACTTGGGCAAGGTCTTTGAGAAAATTATTCTTAATTATTTCAAGACCTATTACTCAGAGATTGCTCTTATCCCAACGTAGCAGACCGCTTCCAAGCCGGCCTATTTCAGGATCACCATCTGGCGAAAGTAAGCCAGAACGCAGTCAAGAATGAAGCGACCGCAATGGTATCTATAGGCTGCACGGAAGCTTTTGACTCAGTGTCACATAGTCTTCTATTCAAGACATTCTTGGATAACTAGTGAGACACAGTACTTTACAAAAACACGTATCGATCTACTACATACCACCCAAATGTTAAAATGTCGTAACAATTTAACATGTTTATTCTCCGTGCGCTAAAGGTGGCATTTTTTAGTCGGTAACTGCTATAAGTAGCCTGGTAAATAGAAAAATGGTAGCGGAAATAAAATATTAAATTATACTAATTAATCATAAAGAAATAGTAGGTTTTTATGTATAAGTAAAAAAAACTCAAATTTTACTCAGTTACTATAGTAGAGGTAATAAGCAACATATTGTTTGTGTTTTGAGTCAAACTTGTTTCAAAGTTCTATGGGATCTCACTGAATAGTATTAGCCCTTAATTCTGAAAATAGTTCGTTCCAAAGATCGTGATCTGCTCTTTAGGGAATTGATTAAAACAAGTTTAAATTGTTCGTTATTTGAGCATAGAATGTTTCAAAACACTCACAGGGTGTCACTAAATAGCCATCTAAATAGAAAATTTGTCCAACCGCACACTCAAAAAATAACTACGTACCTTTTATCTGACAACCAAACGACAAAAAAAAACAAAAAAAAAAAACAACCGTCGTTATAGGTAACCGTAGTCAAGTAATCGTTTGATGAAAAATGAAAAAGATTTTTTCTACAGCTTAAAATGGGATTAATAAATATATAAAAAAGTGTCGAAAGACCAAATCCAAACGGATATACCAAACCGTTTTAAAAAGTCAGGCTATTTAAAAGTTCATGAAGTTCGACGGAGTTGCCAGATTACGTAAGTGAGATAACAGTTGAAAAATTCATTCCTTGAAATGAAGCCTGGAAAATAAAAAACAGACCGTAAAGTCACTAGAGACTTTAACAGCCCTAATTTTTTTCCAGGACTAACGAGAAGCAATCACGACTTTTCATTACTAGAAAATAAATTAAGATTCTCCTGACCCCTAAAATGTGTAGTTAAACAGAATATTAGGTTGCAAAATTCATTACAAACTACAAAGTATCTGGATACTCTATACTTAATACGACTCACAGTGGATTAGAAAAGATTTTTTTGTGGATAATTTTAATTAAAATATACCCACATCTTTGGAACCAACGTCAATCATTTAAATATGTAATAAAAAAAAAAAAAAAAAAAACCAGCACCACTACAACCTATGAAGAGTCTTTGATTCAGTACTTTGTAAAGAAAGGCTCTTTCAAGTCCATCGGTTATACAGCAAAATAATCACGATAAAACTCCGAGTTTTTCCTCTTTATCAATTATTTCAATTAATAATACCCAGTTTAGAAATAGAAAATAACTTTATTCTGGGACAAAGTCCCTTTAGAATAACAAAATAGAACATAATTAAAATACTACATCTGGCCAAAATAAAACAATAATAAAAAAGAGAAAGTAAAGAAAATATTAGTTAAACGAGCTATATACAAAAAAAAAAAAAAAAAAAAGATCTATATACAAAACACTTAAAACTATGATAAAACACTTACGACACGACTATCTACAGTAGGAAAATTATAATTATACTCTTTTGAAAAATAAAATAATAAAAAATACATTGAGTTCTTCTTTAAAATGAGGTGTGTTTCTGCTAACAAAGAAAAAACAAAGCTGACAATATCGAATATCAGTGTCTTTAAATAATGACTCATCATTGTCAAATGCTAGAGGTACAGATTTAATTATATACCAATAAAAAATAATAATAAAAATAAAAAAAGCAAACAATAGATGCGGTCAGTGGCGTTAAGAGCCGGAAAATATTGTAATATCCCTAATGAAGTTCACAGTATAGAATAGCACTATCGTTTGATGATGACTAGAAATGCATAATAT